TACATTGCTATTGTTTTACCATATTGGAAATAGAATTTACACTATTATGTAAGCCTTACCTCTCCCAGGAAGTCTTCCCTGATAACAGGTTCTTTCCCTTTTGTTAGGTATTCTTAACACTTACTCTAGCCCTGACTGGTTTGCCTCAGTGGATAGAGCGTCGGCCTGCGGACTGAAGGGTCCCAGGTTCAATTCCGGTCAAGGGCATGTACCTTAGTTGCAGACACATCGCCAATAGAAGGTGTGCAGAAGGCATCTGATCAATGTTTCTCTCTCATCTATGTTTCTAATTCTCTATCCCTCTCCCTTCCTCTCTGTAAAAAATCAATAAAATATATTTAAACAAACGAAAAACAAACACACTTTACCCTGTAGCATTCACATTTAAATTGCACACCTTTGTTACTCTGTGACATACAAGTGCCCAACAGTTTAGAATGGATTTTACATTCCTGTGAGCTAGTCTTGCTTTCAACACAGGACTTCACATAGTTCATTTGCTTTTCTATGAAAAAGGGATTTTGAGCTCTCTGAAGGCAACAGTAGACATTAAATTATTCTTTTTTTTAAATGTCTTAACTTTTATTTATTTTTATTTTTTATATATATTTTATTGATTTTTTACAGAGAGGAAGAGAGAGGGATAGAGAGTTAGAAACATTGATGAGAGCGAATCATTGATCAGCTGCCTCTTGCACACCCCCCACTGGGGATATGCCCGCAACCAAGGTACATGCCCTTGACTGGAATTGAACCTGGGACCTTTCAGTCCGCAGGCTAATGCTCTATCCACTGAGCCAAACCGGTTTCGGCTTAAATTATTCTTCATAGCTCTAGCAGAGCAACACATGGGAACAGGCACGTAATAATTGATGATGAAGCCCTAGCTGGTTTGCTCAGGTTCGATTCCGGTCAAGGGCATATGCCTGGGTTGTGGGCTCGATCCCTGGTGGAGTGCGTGCAGGAGGCAGCCGATAAATGATTCTCTCTCATCATTGATGTTTCTATCTCTCATCGCTTCTCGGCCTTTTGGCTAAGATCAGTGTAGTATGTTTCTATCTCTCTCTCCCTCTCCTTTTGAAATCAATAAAAGTATATTTTAGAAAATAATAATTGATGATGATGATGATGATGATGAAGATAAGACTGGAAAAGCAGAAGCTGACAGTAGCTGGAGAGGAGATGGATATGGGTGTTAGGACATGCTGACTTGGCTGTTGGGTATGAGGGACCTTCCAGGAAGGGCTAAGCTAGGATACGGCCCAGAGGATGGGGAGGAGGGGACCATGCGGCCAGTATGGCCTGAAATAGCTCTCGGTAACCTGAGGAATTGGCAGTCAGGAGTTGGGCTGGAGTCACGTGCCTGGTTCTGGCTCTGAAGTGGAGGTGAACAAGGAGGGTTGCCAGCCAGGTTCGTTGGGCAGTTGGAAGGAGGAGGAGGGGCGAGAAGAGTTATTTTTAATATTATTCGGGGCACAGAACGAGGATTTCCCAATAGGGAAAAAAGGAATGCGATGTAGGTAACACAGATACTCCCAGGCTGGAGGAGATGCTCAGGGCTGGGGAGAAGGAGGCCCGAGCCATGGCAGAGCCCTCTGATGCGGACAGTCCTGCTGGACTCAGCTCCTGGGTTCATATCTGGATGAGTCTAGGCAGAGGCATGCCTCTCTTCAGGACTGTTCTCATTCTTCTAACAAATGTTGATTGAAAACTCACCTTTGAGTACAGCACAATACTAACTGGTTTGGAGAAACTTAGAAGTAATGGTGTCTAGCCGAAACCAGTTTGGCTCAATGGATAGAGCGTCGGCTTGGGGACTGAAAGGTCCCGGGTTCGATTCTGGTCAAGGGCATGTACCTTGGTTGCCGGCATATCCCCAGTAGGGGGTGTGCAAGAGGCAGCTGATCAATGATTCTCTCTCATCGATGTTTCTAACTCTATCTCTCTCCCTTCCTCTCTGTACAAAATCAATAAAATATATTTAAAAAAAGAAGAAGCAATGGTGTCTATTTTGCTGGAGCCTAAAAATTAGTAGAAGAACACACATGTACACATGGCACAACTAGTGAATACAGGATACATGCTGCTTTTACATGACATTAGTATTGAGGGATGAGTTCAATCAGGAGGGTCTTCCTGGAGGAGATGTGTTTTGAACCAGTATTTGAAGGAAGTTATCAATGCAGAACAAAGGAGAAGTGGCAGAAATGTGGCTGTTCCAAGTACAGGAAATCAACGAAGAAAAGTTTAAAAGACAGTAATTAGCTAATCTAATTAGTAGGGAACAACAAGCAGATTGACTTGGCAGACCTATTGTACCTTGGGGACTGTGCAGCAAGGTACGATGTAACAAGGCACAGTATAACATTATGACCTCGATGTTAATGAGGTCACAGTCCAGTCCTGTATCCCCGTCAATCTCTGCCTCCTATCTGGCCAGATCCTTCCTTCTCACTTGAAGCAGCTGTCTCGCATGTGCAAACCCTTAGTCAGAGGGTGTGGGACCAGACAAAGTGGGGTTGGAAATGTTGCAGGCAGTTAAACAGACAAGAGCAGAGCAAGACAGGGGCCAGGTACAGAGGTTCACCAAGATGGAAAGCCCCAGGTGCCTAGCAACCGACAGTTAACCGCAGGTGGGACTTGCACACTGGGTGACTTCCTCCTCTGGCATATAGCTCCCTGGCTTGCGTTTGGACCCCCTGACCTTCCCCCACTAAAGCTAACATCTGTGCCTCCGTTATATTTCAATCTTGCTAGTGGTTCTCAACCTGTGGGTTGTGACTATAGAGCCTAAGACCATCTGAAAACACAGATATTTACATTATGATTCATTAACAGTAGAAAATTACAGTTATGAAGTAGCAATGAAAATAACTTTATGGTTGAGGTCACCACAACATGAGGAACTGTATTAAAGGGTCACAGCATTGGGAAGGGTGAGAACCACTGGGCTAGAACTTGTTTCCAAAGCCCATATCTTCTAGGAATTTCTTCTTCTAACTCTGTAATCTACCCAGCAAATATTCTCTTACAGTTTGGGTCTGGATTCTGAATCCTTTCCTAGCCAGAACTCAAGTCCTGAGGTTGCTGAACCCAGGTTTGGTCTGACCCCATTGGTCAGACACCTGGTGCCAATTCCCACTGCCTACAACAGAGTCCCATGCCCACAGAGTGGGAGTCCAGAATACCATCTCTGAACTGGAAGGAGGGTGGGGTAGAGGTAACAAGGGAAAAAGGAGATATGTTAGCAAAGAAAAAGAAATGAGATCACTCCCAAACTTGGGGCTTTATAAATACATATAAAATATGGATTAAAACACCTTCCTTACAAAATGTTAACTAAGCCAGGGAGGGTTCAAAGAGAGGAGTCCTGCTCAATGAACTCCATATAAAATGGGCTCAAACTTTAAATCAGTCCAGATTCCGTGGGAAGCCCAAAATAAATATCAACCTCAAGGACTGTGTGTGTGGGAGGGAGAGGGGGGAGAGGAGAGAAGGGGAGGGTTTGGAGGCTTTAAATCTGGTTCCAGGCCTCTGTTTCTGTGCAAGATTTCTCTTCTCCACACGAATTAGACCTAAAAGGCAACGCAGCCTTTAATTATTTTACCTGTTCCCCCACCTCACCCCACCCATATAATACTCATAAAAAGATTTCCTGAATGTGAAGAGCTTGACTAAAGATTTAGAAAGAAAGCAGAGGAGGGACTTGCAATGTAGTATAAATATCTTTAATTGTAACAGCAGGTGCCACCATTATTTTCTCATTGTTAATCCTCACCGGTGGATATTTTATTTTATTTATTATTTATTTTATTTAAAAAATATATTTTATTGATTTTTTCACAGAGAGGAAGGAAGAGGAACAGAGTTAGAAACATCAATGAGAAACATCGATCAACTGTCTCCTACACACTCCCCACTGGGGATGTGCCCGCAACCAAGGTACATGCCCTTGACCGGAATCTAACCCGGGACCCTTCAGTCCACAGACCGACGCTCACTGAGCCAAACCGGTTTCCGCTGAATATTTTATTTTAATAATTTTATTGATTTTAGAGAAGAAGGAAAAGGATGAGAGAGAGAGAAACATCAAAGATGAGAATCATTGATCGGCTGCCTCCTGCACGCCCCCTATTGGGGACTAAGCCCGCAACCCCGGCATGTGCCCTGACAGGGAATGGAACCCTGACCTCCCGGCTCATAGGTTGATGTTCAAACCCTGAGCCAGCGGGCCGGTGCTCTCCCCGCTGTGTCAGGAGCATTCCCCTGTATCCCGATGGAAGGCTGCACGGTGACCTTTCATGGCCTGGGTGCCTCCTGCCCAGGTCTCACTTGTCAACAAATGCGTATTTTTTCCGGACAAGGATGACTATCCCCTAGAAGTAAGCCTGATTCTTTCCACCTCGACTTCATTGACTAAATACTAAAGGAGGAAACTATGTAAACACTTTGTCCAGCGCTTGGAACATTCATTTCCTTTCTCCGAGGTTTTAAGCGCAGTCCCAAGAACGGCAGCGACTGCAAGGATGAACAGAATTATGGAATTAACTCCACACAAGGTGGCGGGTGAGAAAGGCTCTACGAGATCAGCGGGGATGTGCTGTCGTCACGCCCACGAGCTCCTCGCGGTGCTCCGGTGCAGGGGGGGCGGGGTCCCGCAGGCCAGGCCCGGCATCCGACTCGCACGCCCGGTGCCGCCCGCCAGCGGCGCGGAACTACAACTCCCGACAGGCCGCGCGGCCACCGCTTCCTCCCTCTCCGGCCCGAGCCATGGCAACCGCGTGACGTGAGGGTGCAGGGAGCTGCGGGAGCAGCGGTCGCGGCTTCAGTGCTAGCTCGCCCCGCGGCCCGGGCGGGAGCAAGGCGAGAGGAGCCGCTGCCCCGCTGCCCGCGCCACCCCCGCGCTCCCGGAACCCGCGGGGCGCCCGCTCCCCGCTCCCCCGCAGCCAGGCGGGCGCGGCGGCGGCTGTCAGAGCCCGGGGCCAGGGAGGGTCGCGTGCATGGCCTCGGCGGGCGCGCGGCGGCTCCCGGTCGGGACGCGCGCGGCGGCCCGGCGCTGCTGCGGCCTCCCGCTGCGCCCGGCCCCGCCCCCGGCCCCTCCGCGACCTCCGGGACCAATGAGGTGAGCGGGCGGCGCGGCGGCCGCGCGGGGGGAAAGGGGGTCGCTCGGGACCCCCGAAGTTCCGCGGAGGAGGACGGCAACCCCGGGATGCTGGCGCGGCGCGCGGAGTGGGGCAGCGGCCACGCCCTGGGGTCCAGAGGTGCAGCTTTGGGGAGCACGTTTGCAAGTGATTCCGCAGGAGAAGCCTCCGGGGTGGCTGCCCCGACCGGTTCTGGCCCCTCGCGGGGTCTGGGCGCGCGGGTGCCCGCTGCTGCCAGGGGCTGGGAGCCGGGGAAGTTCCGCCGCTCCCCGCAGCAGCGCAGCCGGCGGGCAGAGGCGGCCGGCGGTTCGCACGCAGCCCGCTGCCTCCCGGCTCCTCCCGCGGCTCTGTCCTCGGCCGCCCTCGACCTTTTGCACTCGTGACTGTCTGGCTGGGGAGCCTGGCGGGCTGCAGCAGGTGCTGGGGGAAAAGTTGACTGGACGACCTTCCTCTGGGATGTGCCCTCTCCTCTCCCTCTTCCCCCGGGAATGGTTGAACACCCAAGAAACCTGACAGTTTGTCTCTCCTTTTCCTTTCGGGCTTAGATTTCTGATTTCCTGCAGCCTCTTCTTGCCCAGGACTGCCCATGCCCAGGTCTTGGCGGCTGAGGGCGGCTTGCCTCCTAGCCGTTCCTTCATGGGCTTTGCTGCCTCCTTCACCAACAAGAGGAAGGCTTACTCCGAGCGAAGGATCATGGGGTGAGCATCCTCCCCTGGCCAGCATTCCTCCACATTCCCCTCCCCTCCAAGCAAGGAACCATGTCCAGGTTAGAATGTCAGGGTGGCAAGAGTCGTCCCTGTCCATCCCTGATCCTTTAGCCTCTCCTGCCAGCCTTCCAGCCTAATCCTCCCTCCTCCTTCTTGATTGTCCTGCATGTACGTTATGTGAACTGTGCCTAGAATTGGACAGTATCCTAAGACAACAGGGGATTATTTCTCTGTCGACCTGAGTTTATGTGTTCTGAACACAATATAAAACATAAAGCAACTGAGCCCTTGCTACTACTAGCAGTTAGGCTGCTTAGGTGTTTTACATAGATTTTTCTCACTTGATCCTTTCAACAAACCTGAGTTAGGTACTGTTATTACCTATGATTTGCAGTTGAGAAAGTTGAAGCACAGATAATGTCCCTAGGGGCTACATTAAGATGTAGAGCTGGGATTTGAGTCCTAAGGTAACGTTCACATCATGAAAACGTGTGCACTTGCTTTTGGGAGGTCATCCATTCAGGCTTATTTGTGATCTCTAGTTCCTGAACATGCATGGCTAGTGGGCTGAGGCAGTGGGGGGAGTGCACCTCGGGCAAGAAGCCCGAACCCGCGGGCAGTTCCTTGGCCTCTCTGGTTCCTTTCCCCAGGTACTCCATGCAGGAGATGTTCGAGGTGGTGTCCAACGTCCAGGAGTACTGCGAGTTTGTGCCGTGGTGTAAGAAGTCTTTGGTGGTGTCCAGCCGTAAAGGTCACCTGAAGGCCCAGTTGGAGGTCGGCTTTCCGCCTGTCATGGAACGTTATACCTCTGCCGTTTCCACGGTCAAACCTCACATGGTCAAGGTGAGGTCTGGGACAGATTGATCAGGCAATTTTTTTGTGTGTTCTCTTAACATTTTTACATTCAAGGGCTATTTTGGCCTCTCTTGTAATAATTGTAATACAATTATTATTTCCGTGTCTCAAATGCTTCCCTAATATTAGAAGGAAAATGACTTTCAATTCCTTCTTATAGCCTCCTATACTTATTGTAGGTTTTAGTCCATCGTATGATGTTTAACTACCCGACTGCCCTATTCTAGGCTGTTTGCACTGATGGCAAGCTCTTCAATCACTTAGAGACCATTTGGCGATTCAGCCCCGGTATTCCTGCCTACCCCCGAACTTGCACTGTGGACTTTTCGGTGAGTCGGGAGCCTGTGTGACACAGGGATACAACTGGGTTTGGGGCCAGAGCTGAGGTACTGACAGTTATTTTTAAAACTTTTGATTTTTTGGAGAGAGACACCAATTTGTTGTTCCACTTATGTATGCATTCATTGATTGCTTGTATGTGCCTTGACCAGGTGGCGATCGAACCCCAAACCTTGACATATTGGGACAGTGCTCTAACCAATTGAGCTACCTGGCCAGGGCTACCTGACAGTTTTTTGTTTTGTTTTTTTAATGTATTTTTTATTGATTTCAGAGAGAAAGGAAGTGGGAGAGAGAGAAACAGTGATGACAATCACTGGCCACCTCCTGCATACCCCTACAATCTGGATATATGCCCTGAACGGGAATGGAACCGTGACCTCCTGGTTCATAGGTGGATGCTCAACCACTGAGCTACGCCGGCTCGGCATGACAGTCACTCTTTACGCACAGCCAGCACTTGGGACTTCCCAAGTCAATGACACTTTCCCCAGATGTGACCTTTCATCAAACTTGGAACACTGTGCTCAGTGCTACGTTAGGGCGTGAGGGGCTCTGAGGAACTGGTGGGGGAGGGGAAGGAAAGGCGCTGAATGAGTATCCTTGCATTTGGCCAGGGACTGTCCAACATGATCTTGAAGTTTCTGTCTCTTACCCATTCCCAGATTTCCTTTGAATTCCGTTCTCTGCTGCACTCCCAGCTGGCCTCCATGTTTTTTGATGAGGTTGTCAAAAAGAATGTTGCTGCCTTCGAGCGCCGGGCAGCCACCAAGTTTGGTCCAGAAACGGCCATACCCCGTGAACTGATGTTCCATGAGGTGCACCACAGCTGAGGCAATCTTTTATTCTCCCTCTCCACCCAATTCTTTTATTTATTTCAGTTGACTCCTGCCCCAGTCTGAGATCTCAGTTCTCCAGAAGGCGGGCTCTAAGCTGGCTGGAATGCTGGGGGAAAGAAAAGGCAGGGGTGTGGAAGGGACACATGCTAAGAAATGGTCAGGCTCAACCTGAGCCCTGTAAGCATGATGCCTGCAGCCTTCTCACATTGTAATTAGGACTGTGTGGTTATCCCTGAGCCCTGTCAAGGTACCTTAGTGTCTGACCAGGGGAAATAGCAACTTTCCTTAAGGACTGAATAAATGGAGCTTTTCCTCTACACAGAGGAACTGGATGGTCAATTACTTTTGCTTGCTTGGAATGCCTCAGGGGATGCTAGAGCTCTGGCCGCAGCTTAAAATCACTTCTAAGAATATTTCCATGCTAGTGGAGGACCGGGGGCTTTCTTATCATCAGTGCCACGGGGTGAGGGGGAAAAAAAAGCACCGAACAGAGTTATACTCTTGGGATGTACCGTATTCTTCCACTTGGCCTGAGTTTTTATAAAATTTCAATAAATTAATTATGACAATGCGAATTTGGCTTTTTAAATTATTTATTGACTTGAGAGACAGACACTGATTTGTTACTACATCCATTTATGGATTTATTGGTTGTTTCCTGTACGTGCCCTTGACCGGAGATCCAACCTGCAACTTTGGCATATTGGACAACACTCTAACCAACTAAGCTACCTTGCCAGGGCTTGGCTTTTTGGTATTGTTTCTGGAGAGAATAATATAGATAAAGCAGAGTAGAAGTAAGTCATGGCTTCTTTCCTAGGGGAGTGAAGGTGCAAGGCCTCTCGAACATAGTGTCCTTGCTAACTATAGTAGTACATTCTACAAGCCAGGACCTAGTACCCGCTCCCTTGCCTATTAATAGACTTTTTCAGAAGGTCAGTGGCAGCAGGAGTCTCGGGATAGAACGACCTGTCTCAGACCTCCCACATAACTGATGCCTTCAGGACCACCTTTTTTATGGGAGGCTGCAAAGAACAGGCATCCCCTGAAGGACCAGGGCACTCCGTGGCTCACACCCTGAGCCAGCTGTCCCATTCCTGTTTGTCCTTTCACCCAGTGGGCTGGACCGGTGTCCTTGAATTCGTCACATCGGCAGTTGTGACGATTTCTCTGCAATCAGCTTTGTCTCAGCTATAATCCTTGAGTGCTCTACCTTACAACAAAATTAGGAAGGATGGCGGCTAAAGGTCAAGGACTTCTAACCTTGAGAAAGGACAGAAATCTCCGTTGGAAATCTCATAGGGAGCCTGTCTTCATATTAGGATAAAGAAATGTCAAACCTAATCTAAAAATAAAGGGATCTACATGATAACCTATAACCCAGTTAAGTCCAGTATCTTGCCAGCCAGATTTCTTACCTCATAATATGGTAGATTCTTCCAGGACTTCAATAATAGCAGGCTCAAGCATTGTTAATAAAAACATTTATTTTGCATTTTATACAGAACAACCTGAAGTCTGCATCATGACTTGACAAGTTACCCAGGGGTTTATAGACAGTGTGTCCATCTGAACAGCGTGGTTCTGGGGATTGGGGATCCACACACACACAGGCAGGAGTTGTGAGGGAGTAAGGAGGCACAGCAGGAGTGTATTTCAATCCTTTCTTAAAGAAAAGGCAGTAGAGCATTCTGAGTCACTGAAAACCTGTGCAGATGGGGCTTCTAAAACCAACACTATACTGTGAGCTCTTAGGGAGAGGCAGGCAGGTAAGGACCTTGATAAATAAGGGATACTTCCTGTGGCAGGGGATGGGGAGGACGCTTACCATTCTTTTAATGCCCTCAGCCCTAGGACCTGGCATTCAAAGGAGACTGTGTCCAAACTTAAGTCATTTTCCTGCTCAGAAAAAGGTGCCAGTATCCCTGGGATCGAGACCATGAAGATAGCATGCTGTAATTCCTATATCCCTAGTCCATGGCCCACAGCATACTAAAGTAAGGGAGAGGTCAGAGGATAATGGTTAAAAAACTCAGATCATTGTAAGCGCTGATAAAGCCAAATGACTGGGCAAGACCCTGTATCAGACTGGTCTCTACAATCCGCAGAAAGGTCTCTGGTCAGGAGGGACACGGAGGGGAAGGCCCAGAGCACCCTCCGCTGGAGGTGCATGCAGTACATACAGAAAATCTCAAAGGAGGTATTCAAGTAGTGGAGAACAGAACACTCCCAGATCTTAATTTTTATGGGATAAGTTTAAAAAGAAAGAAACATCAAACACTGGGTACCAGGAACAACAAATGCCACGGAGTTTATGACCATGGCCTTTATGGTCACCTGGTAATGTTAAAAAAAAAAAAAAAAAAAAAATTACCCAAAGCATGTCCAGCTAACCAACAGGTTTTGCCAGGCACATGGGAGAGGGCAACAGGGCTTAGTACAGCTGATAATTCAACATGATTCTTATGGAAACAGGGGCAGAGTCCTGGTGTGCTGGCCTGCTGAGGACGGCAGAACAAGTGGCTGCAGGTTCTCTGCAGTCAGCTTTGACCCAGGGAAAGAGGAGCGATTCTCACTCTACAGAGATGGTGTGGGGCCAGACCTAACCCATACCACATGCTTTAGTCCTGCTCATCCTACAGCTGATGGGCAACTCATACTAATCAGGGGAAAGGAGTTGGTAGGGAAAGAGGGGTCACTTTTCATTTTTTTAAAGCCTTAATTTATATTTTAACCTCAAACTTATTACCAGTGCCTCAGATACAACTTAAGTCTTTACAAGCCCCCCTTTTTTAAGCTCCCTCACTTCTGGTAGTTAGTTTCCCCATCTCCAAAGGTTTTACCCTGACTTAGTGTCCACAAACTTCATCAGACCATCCGTGCTCATGGACTTGGGCCTCTCGAGAGGGAAGCCGAGGGCTCGGCTCCAGATGAGCTGTGCCAGTACACCCAATGCTCGCGACACCCCAAACAGCACGGTGTAGTAGTTCATCTCCGTCATGCCGTAGTACTGTGGGGAGAAGAGAAAAGTGCTTTGTTAAAGGCTCAGAGGTAGGGGCAGGATTATAGAAACCTTAACCTAGACAGCCTTAAATAGAAATGATACTGGGAAAAGGATAGCAATTGTAATTCTGAAAAGAGGGCATCCTCTCCTCCTGCCCACACCTCCCCAACCATAGGCAACTTGATAAAAAGGTAAGGAAAGATACGAGTCCCTGCTGACGAGGGAACTGATTTTGTGCATGGCAGGGAACAGTGGTGTTTGGTGCAAACTAAAGGGAAAGCAGGGAAGAGAGGACTCACCTGGAGCAGTACCCCACTGTGAGCATCTACATTGGGCCAAGGGTTCTTGGCCTTGCCCTGCTCCAAGAGGATATTGGGCACAATCTTGTACAGTTGAGCAACCAGCTTAAACATGGGGTCATTGGGCAGGTGTTTCAGAGCAAATTCTCGCTGACACGTATATCGTGGATCAGTCTTTCTCAGTACCGCATGGCCATAGCCCGGGACAACCTATAAAGAGTGAGGGGGAGAAAAGCCAGTTACATTCTCTGGTGGGAATTCTGTCTCTTCTAGATTCTTCAGGATAGACTAATGGGAGGGGGGGCTCCTTCTGTAAGGACCACTTCTCATGCTTACCCGCCCTGAGTTGAGTGTGTTCCAGATGTACTCTCGTAACTTCTCATCTGACACCTCTTTGCCAACTTCCTTCTGAAGATTTGTCAGCCAGACAAGCACTTCCTATAGATAAGGTTTGGGGTATAAGAATGTTAATACATATGCCAAGGAAAACGCTAAAATCAGCAACAAAAGCATGGGATGAAGAAAAACATGGAACAGGAAAAGGATAGTTTTACCTGATTTGCCAGTCCATGTAGGGGCCCTGCCAGCCCATTCATAGCTGCTGCAAAGGACAGGTAGGGATCTGAAAGGGCACTGCCAACTAAGTGGCTGGTATGGGCACTTACATTGCCACCTTCATGGTCACTGTGGAGAAATAGGGAGAGTCAAGGCCAAGAAAAGGGTCAGATTATGGAAACACAGACCTTGTTCTCTTATTTGTCATATACTAGCCTAGTTATGGGCATACACCAGCCTGTAGCCAGCCAGTCAGTCAGTTAGTTATTCATAAGCTCTTGTAAAGATGTCCCAAGCTCATTACCCGCCTTTGTTTACTGGTTGATGAAGCCTGTGTGCCGAGCTCCCTGGCTCTCACACTCCAGCTTTAATAAGCAATGGCCAGAAGAGGGAGCTCCTGGAAAGCTAGAGAAAAACCTAATGTGAGCAGCTAGAACCACCACCTTGTTCTTGATGTGATTGTAATTCCCCTTAACCTTCTTTACTAGATCCCTTTCTTGCCTTGTATCATCCCTTAGTTTTGACATATGTGTGCCCCTTCTATAATTTTCATAACGCTGAGTAGTACCCCTCGTACTCATGAGAACGTAGAATTAGGGCGCAGATAAGCACGGTGCAGTGCATATCCCCACCAAACTCCGGTGCAACGCCTGCCCCCACCAAACTCTTCCTATATCCCTGGGGAGACACGTACCACACTTTGGGAAACACTGTGTTTCCCATCACCGTGCTGCCTATTGCCTATTCCCAGATGAGGAGACTTTTAAGGAGCTTTTCTTAAAATTTCCCACCAATCCAGCTATGATTGCTGGGTCCAGCTCACCTGTGAATGGTGAGGTACAAGCGCATGAGCTCAGTAAACTGAACATCAGTATAGCCTAACATGTTGGTGAAATTGTGGGACCAGTCCAGCTTAGAGTCAATGGCCCCAATACTGCTGCCCTCCCGGTACAAATTCCGGTAGATCTTTGCAGCAACACAAGGTAGCTTTGCGATCAGATCCATACAATCTTCGTAAATCAACTGAAGGGGAGAAGAGGAAAATGGAGAAGAAAAAAAAATTATCAACAAAGAATTAGGCAGGAATGCTATTTGTCCTCTACATAGCCCAGGATCAGGCTATCTGGGTTGGTTACACAATGAGTGATTATGTACGGAGTATAACAACAACAATAACCATTTACCTGAATAACTACGACCCAGGCACTGCACTAGATTATTTACTCATACTACTCCAGACACATTAAAACAGCAGTCGCCCAACAGTGGTCAGCGAGGTCCAAAAGGTTGTCAACTGCCACATTAAAACATTACTCCCAATTTTTACAATTCTACCATGTATATAATGACCTCCATTTTACAGATGAGGGAACTGAAGCTCAGAGCATTCAGTTAAATGCTAGTCATATTGTGAAGCCATATTTATTTAATCATGTTCTTTCCCTCTATGACTTTGCCCTCAATGAATGTGCTAAGAAACTAGATTTTATCTTTTAAATATATATATATATATATATATTTAAATGTCTATATATATATTTTATTGATTTTTTACAGAGAGGAAGAGAGAGGGATAGAGTTGGAAACATCGATGAGAATCACCGATCAGCTGCCTCTTGCACACCCCCTACTGGGGATGAGCTCGCAGCCAAGGTACATGCCCTTGACTGGAATCGCACCCGGGACCTTTCAGTCCCTAGGCCGATGCTCTATCCACTAAGTCAAACAGGTTTTGGCTTAAATATATTTTTATTAATTTCAGAGAGGAAGGGAGGGAGGGAGGGAGGGAGGGAGAGAGGGGGGGGGGGGAGAGAGAGAGAGAGAGAGAAACGTCAATAATGAGAAAGAAGCATTAATCAGCCGAAACTGGTTTGGCTCAGTAGTAGAGCGTCGGTCTGCGGACTGAAAGGTCCCAGGTTCGATTCCAGTCAAGGGCATGTACATTGGTTGCAAGCACATCCCTGGTAAGCTGGTCGGTGTTTCTCTCTCTCATCGATGTTTCTAGCTCTCTATCCATTTCTCCTCCTCTCTGTAAAAAATCAATAAAATATATTTTAAAAAAAAAGAAAAGAAGCATTAATCAGCTACCTCCCCTACTGAGCATTGAGCCTGCAACCTGGACATGTACCCTTGACCGGAATTGAACCAGAGATCCTTTAGTCCACAGGCTGATGCTCTACCCACTCAGCCAAACCAGCTAGGGCAAAAACTAGGTTTTAATAATTAATTTTACATTCTTGCAAAGAAAATTCACTATAGATGCCAAGGGTCAAAAATTGGTATTCAACTGTTAGTTAAGAGCAAAGGCTTCCTTTTTTTGTTTTTATTTGTTTTAAAGAATAGTTGATTTTTAGAGAGAGAGGAAGGGTGAGGGAAAAGAGAAGAGAAATATTGAAGGCACAACGTGATTGGCTGCCTCCTGCGTGTCCCTTACTGGAATCCAGCCCTATGTATATTATGTTTTCCCCCCTATATATACATACCTATGAATTTAATTTATAGATTAGTGACAGTAAGAGATTAATAACTAATAATAAAACAATTATAATAATATACTGTTGCCAAAACTGGGTTGGCTCAGTGGATAAGCATCAGCCTGCAGACTGAAAGGTCCCAGGTTTGATTCCTGGTTGCGGGCACATCCCCAGTAGGGGGTGTGCAAGAGGCAGCTTATCAATGATTCTCTCTCATCCATGTTTCTAACTCTCCTATCCCTCTCTCTCTTTAAAAAAATCAATAAAAAATATTTTTAAAAATAATATACTGTAATAAAAGTTTTGTGAATGTGGTCTCTCAAAATATTTTATTGTGTCATACTCACCTTCTCATTCAAATGAAGTACAGTTATAGTTTCTGTTTAGAATATCCAAATTGCCAGTATCACTACTCTTTATGTTTTGGGACCATTATTAAGTAAAATGAAGATTACTGTGATATTTCGACTGTGGATCTGATAACTCAGCCAGCTAAGTGACTAACAATGTAGATTCATACACTGGACAAAGGGAAGATTCACATACCAATGGATGCAGCAGGATATTGTGACCTTTAAAACTTATGAATTGTCAATTTTCTGCAATTTTCCACTTAATATTTTGGGACCATGGTTAACCCTAAATCATGGAAAGTGAAACCAGGGACAGGTGCTGTATAGTTTAATTGGTTGTTTTTGAAAGGCAGTGTTGAACTTTTTGTTGCATTTCAGCAGTCTTCTCACAGAAAGCTGTTTCTCTTTGGGATCGGGACCTTATCTCTAAGCATATTAATAGGCTAGCTACAAGGTTTGTCTTTGTAGTGAGGGATATAGGTTTCTTTAAAAATATTTTTAGTTTTTCTTGATTTTAGAGTGGAAAGGTGAGGTAGGAGGGAGGGACAGAAAGAGGGAGGGAGGGAAGGGGAGAGAGAGAGAGAGAGAGAGAGAGAGAGAGAGAGAGAGAGAGAGAGAGAGAGAGAAACATCAATGTGAGAGAAAAATATCGATTAGTTACCTCCCCAAAGTGCCTCAAACCCATACAACACAGGCATGTGCCCTTGACTGGGAGTTGAACTGGCAACTCCTGGTGCACAGGATGACATTCAACCAACTGAGCCACACTGGCCAGGGCAAGGCTTCCAGTTTTTAAGCACTTAATACGGCAGGTACTGTGTTAGATATGTTATTTGCACTTTTTTATTTTCTTACAGTAATCCTGTAAGGTAACATATCCCTCATTTTAAAAATAAGGAAATTAGGGCTTGGCCAGGTTGAATAACTTATGCAAGATTACTCATGTAGCTAACAAGCATCATTTAGCTTAAATAGTTAACTCATGGCCACTTTTGTTTCACCTATACCAGTGGTCGGCACACTCATTAGTCAACAGAGCCAAATATCAACAATACAACAATTGAAATTTCTTTTGAGAGCCAAATTTTTAAAACTTCTTCTAATGCCACTTCTTCAAAATAGACTTGCCCAGGCCGTGGTATTTTGTGGAAGACACACACACTCAAGAGGCCAAAGAGCTACATGTGGCTTGAGAGCCGCAGTTTGCAGATCACAAACCTATACTACCCCCTCTCTCACTTCTCAAATTATTTTGAGTCAAACACCAGACATCATATATGTATTTCAATATGTAAATATTTAAGCATGTATATCTACAAGATAAAGATACTTCATAAACCCAAATCACAAAACCATTATCCTACTGAAAAAAATTTAATATGTCCTATCACTAAATATCTTCTCAGTATTCAATTTAAGTTCCCTCTTACACTCTCCTTTATTTTCACTTTTTATTGAATTTATTGGGTTAACAATGGTTAACAACATTATACAGGTTTCAGGCGCACAAATCCACAACACATCATCTGTACACTGTACTGTGTGTTTACCACCACAAGTCTCTTTTTAAAAACATACTTTTATTGATTTCAGAGAGGAAGGGAGAGGGAGAGAGATATAGAAGCATCAATGATGAGAGAGAATCACCAATCAGGGAATCGAGCCTGTAACCCACGCATGTGCCCTGCCCAAGAATCAACCCATGACCTCTTGGTTCATAGATCAATGTTCAACCACTGAGCTACACCGGCCGGGCCCAAGTCTCTTTCTCTCTTTCTTTAAAAAATATATTTTATTTATTTTTTACAGAGAGGAAGGGAAAGAGATAGTCAGAAATGTCGATGAGAGAGAATCATCGACCAGCTGCCTCCTACACACACCCCCAGTGGGGATGTGCCCGCAACCAATGAACATGCCCTTGACCGGAATCGAACCTGGGACCTTCCAGTCCACAGACCAACGCTTTATCCACTGAGCCAAACTGGTTTTGGCCCAAGTCTCTTTTTATTTGTGGGAAATCAGATAATTTCTTCTGTAGAATTTCCCCCGAGTTTGCTGGCTATGCCCCTGTGATGTTTCCCTGTCAACTATATTTCCTACAAACTGAAAGTTAGATCTAGAGGCTGGCACAGATTCAGTTTCAATTTTTTTTAAGCAAGACTACTGGATAATTTTGTTGTGTTCATTTGTTAAGAGAAACAAATCTGGTTGCCTCTCTTTTTCTGATGTTAAGAGCTTACTCAATTTTTAGGGCTCAATTTTATTTTCTCAAAGGGTTTTTAAGTTCTTTTAGGGAAGGAACAGAGTTTTATTTTTATTTTTTATTAATAATATAAAAATGTATTAATTGGCCGAAATCGGTTTGACTCAATGGATAGAGCATCGGCTTGGGGACTGAAGGGTCCTGGGTTCGATTCCGGTCAAGGGCATGTACCTTGGTTGTGGGCATATCCCCAGTAGGGGGTGTGCAAGAGGCAGCTGATTGATGACTCTCATCGATGTTTCTAACTATCTCTCTCCCTTCGTCTCTGTATAAAATAAAAAAATAAATAAAAAAAAAGGATAGACAGTTCTAAGGGACTAGATTCACTAGCAGAATGACAAGAACAGGATCTCAGGCTAGGCAAACTGGTATCTGTGAAGTATATACTAACTTTCAAAATTATCTGGAATGTATGAATGGCCACATCATAAAGATACTACAAAAATGAGATTGTTTCAAATTCTACCAGTGAGGATGAAGTTTATAAAGCATCAAGTATCAGACCAGCTATAACAGTGTGGGATCCTTACCCTTTTTATAGTGGTCAATGCTGTGTACAGTTAAAGAGAAATTAAAAACAAAAATAAAACAACAATAAGATTGGAGTGCTATTTTAGCTTGTACCAACTCATTATCTACAAAGACTTGGGGAAAAAGACAGTAAAACACACCCCCATCACAACTGTCTGGAATAAAGCTAACAAAATTGACCATAACTGTCATTGAGAGCTCCTGTCTCTAATGCTGGTAAAATTCTGGCCAATACTTAACTTCAATCATGAAAAAGACACAGAAGAAGAAAAGCTAGTATTAATAGTGAAGAGAGTTCAGAGTAGAGCAAAATCAAATTTGAATCTTCTCTCTACTTAATCTTTCTAACCCTCAGATTTCCCAATCAGCAAACTGGGAAGAACATCTGCACCTCATCAGGTTGTGCTGAGGATTAAACTGGATGATGAATATAAAGCACTTAAGTATATTTGGTTTTTTTTCAAGAGCTGCTAGGTGTTCGATTATTTTATTATAAACAAAACTTGATCTGCCAGCTACTTCCCAAATTTTACTCAACATTTACTTAGAGCTGCTTCACAATTAAACATCTGGGTTGCATCATAGCAATCCTGGTCTTGAGTGAAGTTAAGCCAAATAGAAAGAGTCCTAACTCTTTCAACTCAAGAGGTTACACTATCTAAAGTCATATGAACTGTGATGGAAAAAATGTTGGAGGCAGATCATTCTTTTAATATTTGTATTGATTTCAGAGAAGAAGGGAGAGGAAAAGAGAGATCGAAACATCAATGATGAGAGGGAATCATTGATTGGTTGCCTCCTACACACTCCCTAACTGGGGATTGAGCCCATAACCTGGGCATGCACCCCTCTAGTCCACAGGCCAATGCTCTACCCACTGAGCCAAACAAGCTAGGGCAGATCATTCTCTTGAGATGTTAAAGAAAACCCAAGATGAACTGGTGACCCCAATAAAGACTCAGATCACATATAAACTTAATATAAATTTTTACACAAAATAACCAGCTGTATGCTATAATGTAATTCTTCTTAAACAGTCTATGGTTAAATTAACCAGAAAACTGATCTGAAATAGCATGTCTTACCTTTACTAACTAGTAAGAGTTACAAGATGTGCCCTTCTTTCTTGAAATAAAAGAAAAAAAAAAAAAAAAGATGTAGCAGCAAAAAGAGCATCAAGCACCACTAAACTAAAGCACCAAAACTCAGTGCTAATTTTTGTGTAGTGTGAACTTATTAGACACACATCCTAAGGCTGACAAATGCATCCGTTATAATTTGTACTCTCCAAAAGATCGGCAAAGTCCTGACATGCATGTTTACTACGAGAGAGCCACACTTGGGTGACAACTCACAAACAGATGGTGGTAGAACAGTCACAGTAATAGCTACGCTGAAAAGGAGGCAATAGCAAGCAGAGGAGCACATTTTAGTGATTCAACAAAGAACAGTGTGAAGCAATGCAGCATGTTTGGATGCCTGGAGTATCTTGTGGGCATCCATTAAAAAGTATAAAGAAGCTGTTTTTTCCTCTCCTCAGGAAAATCAAATAGAAACTCACTTATGGGTGGTAAATTTCTGAAAGATGAGTTTTAAGACAGAAGAACTGTAGGTGTTTTGTTTTGTTTAGCTTTAAAAAATACGGTATGTATATACATTTATTGATTTCCAAGGCAAAGGGAGAGGGAGAGAAACAGAAACATCAATGAGAGAATAATTGATTGACTGCCTCCTGCAGGCTCTTGGCCAGAAGTGAACCTGGGGCCATTCAGTCTGAAGGCCCTATCCACTCTCTATCCACTGAGCCAAACTGGCTAAGGAAATGTCTAGATTTAACCTTTTGTGTTATGGTGACCCACACAGATACAATCACCTGAAGAGCATTTTGAAAAGCATCTAAAAAAAGATAATGAGGAAGAAGACTTGACTTGGGGTGGTAAACAAACAATACAATATACAGATGATGTATTTTAAATGTGTATATTCTGCAACATTCCATTACCCTCCTCCTCAATGCCAAACAGATTAATATCAATTGCAAACTCTCCCTCCCTCTTCCCCCCAACAGCAAACATAATTCTCTATACACAGTTGGCATCAAATAAATATTGACCAACCAAATGAAGCAGGATTTGACAAAATCCCAAGGGGATTTCATCAGACTAGTAGACCACGGTATGGCCCACAGACCATTCTGTGCCTTGCATCACATTAAACTCTTTCAGGACCACGTGGTGGTTGGTATCTTATTATCAAAACCATTTAGTATACCTGTTTTGCAAAAGGGAACTCTTGTGTTCCTACATTACCTGTCTCTGACTTCGAAACAAAGAAAATGAGATGTGTTTCTGTAAACTTAACCAGGATCTTGTACTTTACCCAGTGTTTATGAGTATATGGGGTAGTGGAAAGAGGATGGAGGGAAATTAGATACTCTGTATTGGGACAGGCACAATAGTCTTCTCCTACTACAATTACAGAGTACAAATATTTCGTTTTCAAAAAATAAAGCTCAGAATACTGGCTCTTACTTCTGGGATACTAACCACCCTCCCACTCCTGACAGGTATCTTGAGTGGGTTAGTTCAGAACAGTGGCTGATTGGCATTAGTCCTCCCAGACTCTAGAGTTGCCATTCTCAAGATTCTCATTTGAAGAGGACATGGGACCATTTGGATTTAGTGTGTGACTACACTATGAAATCTTGCTCAGGGACTCTGTAGTTAAATCACATCTTTTTTTTTTTTCTTTTAAATATATTTTATTGATTTTTTACAGAGCAGAAGGAAGAGAGATAGAGAGCTAGAAATGTCAATGAGAGAGAAACATCAACCAGCTGCCTCTTGCACACCCCCTACTGGGGATGTGCCTGCAACCAATGTACATGCCCTGGACAGGAATTGAACCTGGGACCTTTCAGTCTGCAGACCGATGCTCTACCACTGAGCCAAACCGGCTTCGGCTTTAAAAAATTGATTTGAGAGGAAGTGAAAGAGAAACAACAATTTGTTGATCCACTTATCTATGCTTTATTGATTGATTCAATTTTCAAAAAATATTTTAATGTTTTTATTTTTATTTTAAAGAACTTTTTATTGACTTTAGAGAGGAAGGGAGAGGGGGAGAGAGAAACATCAATGATGAGAGCGAGCCCTGGCTGGTTTTTCTCAGTGGATAGATTGTTGGCCTGTGGACTGAAAGGTCCCAGGTTTGATTCTAGTCAAGAACACATGCCTGGGCTGCAGGCTTGATCTCCAGTAGGGGGTGTGCAGGAGGCAGCCAATCGATGATTCCCTCTCATCATTGATGTTTCTATCCCTTTCCCTTCCTCTCTGAAATCAATAATTAAAAAAAAAATTTAAAAATGAGAGAATCGATAGGCTGCCTTCTGCATGTCCTTCTACTGGGGGATTGAGCCAGCAATCCAGGCACGTGCCCGATGGGGATTTGAACCATGACCTCCTGGTTCATGGATCGATGCTCAATAACTGAGCCACACTGGCTGGGCTGGTTGATTCTTTTATGTGTCCTGACTGGAGATCCAAATGCATAACCTCAGTGTGGACAAAAGTCACATCCTTTTCAATGTCCCAACAGCCCTGTGTACATACTTCAACAGGGCTTTACAGAATTATAACTTCTTTTTTACATCTATACCACCTAAAACAAACTAACAACTTTGGTGATAGAAAGCATGCTCCATATACCCAAAGATAAAAAGTAAGCCACAATAAAAAAATGGTTAAATATGTTTCTGGCATAACTCAGGAGTAAATTTTCCTAAAGATACTATGTTGTTTTTCTTCCTTCACATTCTGTTCTCTGAATCCCCATCACACACCAATCACCACACCAAAATTTCCTACCTCCCAGTACTTGGTTCGGTTGATGCCCTCTGCATATGCTCGGGCAAAGTTGCTTTCACTATTGAGGGCTGTGATGGCTGCACTGAGCTGGGACATGGGGTGTAGATTGTTGGGAAAGTTGTCCAGCATGGTGACCACATGGGAAGGCAGAGCTGCCCTCTTTGCCCACTCTTTTGAGAGCCACGACACCTGTGGAAAAGGACACATCGCTCAAACAAAGCAAAGAAAAAGAAAAGGTGACATTTGAGTAAGAAAATACAAGCAAATTCAACCCAATCTACTTATACGGCAGAACTCTGCTCTGATTCTTCCCATTCACTGTACATCTTTATAAACTACCACCAACAGCCAGATCAGAATTGTTAGAAATTAGAGAAAGGCAAAGGAGGGGAATGAGAAAGGCCAATGTCCTTCTGCTTTACCTGTTCTTCTGTTGGCATTTTCCCAGTTACCAGCAGCCAAAATAAGCCCTCCGGCAGGGGCTCTTCCCCACCCTTAGCCTTGGGCAGCAGTTTCTGACATTCAGGGATACTGTAGCCACGGAAACGGATGCCCTTGAAGGAGAAGAGTAAGAATGTTATACAATTTACATTTATTTGCCTGGAAATAATTGACTGGTCCCACTCTTATCAGACATATCAACAAATTAAGAGAACTTTTAAAACTTAAATCTTCAAAAAACTTACTTCTGCTTTGTACTTTTACTAGTTGATTTATTAAAAAGGTAAACTTATTTCTGTTATTCCATATATACCTATTTTCAAGCTTCCAAAATATAAAGGTAGGTGCTTTATTTTGTTTTCAAGTTATTTATAACTTGTTTTTTTTTCAGTCTAAAATACTATGTGCACATTAGTCAGTAAACACGATAATGATTAGTGATTAACATGAAGGTCTCTTACCTCATCAGGATCAAGAACTGATGTTTCGTATACCAATCCCTTCATGCCTCTCATGCCACCATACATCTAAAGAAAAGAAGAAGACGCAGCCAATGGCCAGAATAATTCAGGCTAGAGCTTGTTAGTGCTTCATGGGATCTGGGAGAGGCCATTATCTCTGATTTGTAAGACTTCATTTGGGAAAGATGATTTCCAATGAGTTAACTTATTACAGTATGGAACTTTGCAAGGGAATCTGCTAATGTTGGAAATGAAATTTTTAAATTGAGAAATAACTATCTTTATTTTATGTTCCTGCCTCTGTTTGCTTCCTTTTCCTGTTGAATTTTATTTTTTCTCATGCCCACTGTTACTCCCTCATTCCCACCAACCAAAGTAAACAGAATGGGATCCATTACAGGGGCAGGAGATACGAGACTAATGGCTAAACACTGCTGTGGAATTATCATCTGAGCTGCTCAGACTCTTTGGGCTAGAAGAAAAGCCCTCCTAAAGCCGTTGGAGAGGGCCTGGATGGTCAATACAACGTCAGCTCAAAGACAGAGAGCCCTGGCCCCCTAACCTAAGGAGTTGGAAAGAGAAATAGAAATTTCATTCATGCCTCCCATAGGTGAATTAGGTTAGGCTCAACTATTAAATCTGTAGAAAATAAGTCTAATTTCTAATAAAAATACATTAAGCACCAACATTGCCTTATATAGAACATAATGCTTTTGAATAGTCCGTGAAGAGAACAATACTGATGCTAAAGCACATTACAGAGCTACTTTTCCAGCCAAATTCCCACAACCCTTACCATGTCCACAGTGATTTGGCCCACCACTGTCTTTCCATGTTGCTGCCTGAAGGTCTTAATTCTTGTCTGCTCCTTAGGTATCAGGTCAGCCAACACATCTTTCAAATTCTAAAAAGAGAAACAGAGAGGCTAAGTTATGGTCAAAGACTGGTTTTTTTAACTTGGTTTTTTCTATCTGCCTGGGAAGACTGGTCAACTACTCTGTACATATGAGGTTAAAAGAATTAGGTGGTGCTCTGGCAGGGTGGTTCAGCTGGTCAGAGTGCTGTCTTGATATGCCAAGGTGTTGGGTTTTATCCCATCAGGGCAGATAGAAGCCATCAACCAATGACTGCTTAAATAACTGAAATAACAAGTTACTGTTTCTGCCCAAACCGGTTTGGCTCAATGGATAAAGCCTCGGCTTGGGGACTGAAGGGTCCCAGGTTCGATTCTAGTCAAGGGCATGTACCTTGGTTTCGGGCACACTCCCAGTAGGGGGTGTGCAAGAGGCAGCTGATCGATGACTCTCATCGATGTTTCTAACTCTCTATCTCTCTCCCTTTCTCTCTATACAAAATCAATAAAATATATATTTTAAAAAATTAATGTTTCTCTCTCCCTTCCTTCCTATCTTTCTAAACATCAATGAAAAGAATTAGGCAGAGGGAAAGGAGAATAGGAAGTTGTTACAGAATTTCAATTTGGGAACATGAAAAAGTTCTGGGGATGGACAGTGCTAATGGCTGTGCAATAATGTGAGTGTACTTACTGCCACTGAACTAACACATTTAAAAATGGTTAAAATGGCAAATGTTATGGTATGTATATTTTAGCAATTAAAAAAAAAAGACCAGGCATGTCCGGCTGGCAAGCTCAGTGGTTGAGCATCTCCCTCCCTCCCTGAAATCAATATAAACAGTAAATTTTTAAAAAGATTAGGCAAAAACATTTTATATTCTCATTTCACTATACTATTGAATAAACGACTTCTTAAAATAGTAGTAATAGTAACAGTTATAACAACAATAACAATAATAACAAACACCTCCAGAAGATACTCAGAATAATGATGAATCTGGGTGGTAGCCAAACCACCCCAACCCTATCCCAGGATCAGGCTGCCTCAATGGTTCTGTCTTTGTTCCCCCAAAACTTACCGCGGAGGAAGCACTAGCATGCCGGGCAGCAAGAACAAGACAGGATGCATTCTGCAAAGAACACAAAAATTTATGCAATAGTTATTCCTTACAGTGACTCAATCTGTATTCATCTTGGCCTCTAAGGACAGTTTGACATAAAAAAAAGCTGTAGAAGGCCCCGAATAGCTTGGAAGGAATTACCAAGTCTGGAGGCAGCAATTGGGTTTAGCTCTGTTTTTGCATCCAGAGCTTCACTAGTATCCCCTGAAGACAGACTGTCCCATCATCTGGGCTCCAGGGCTGGGCTTTGTTAGGCAGAGGAAAGGTCAGAAGGGCGGTTGTTACAGATTACTCTTAATAGTTTTCTGAGTGGCCCTGAGAAAAGCAAATGAGGGAACTGATCAATCTCTCAGGCACCTAGCAGTCTTCTGGCAACACTTCCAACCTTTGCAGTCAGCCTGGAGAGCCCACAGGCAAAGGCGGACTACCAGAACATTACCTCCAATGCTCCTGGAAAAAGCAGAGACAGAACACCTACAAAGTAACAATGACAGGAGGCTACTCAGCAACAGCAATGGAAACCAGAAAACTGGAAAATCATCTTCAAAGTGCAGAGAGAATAATTAAATTAGAGTTGTATACTGGGTGAGAAAATATCTTAAAGGACGTGAAATGAAGACATTTCAGACATACAAAAGAGGACAGTTTATTGCCTATATACCTGAACCCAAAAGGATTTTTAAAGATATACTTCAGGAAAAAAATTAACCAGAAAGATGGACCTGAGATTCAAGAAGGCTATATACATCTGCTCTGGCCACCGTGACTCAGCTGGGTGGAGGCACACCAAAGGCTGCAGGCTTTTTTTTTTTTTTTTTTTTTTTAATATATTTTATGATTTTTTACAGAGAGGAAGAGAGAGGGATAGAGAGCTAGAAACATCGATAAGAGAGAAACATCGACCAGCCACCTCCTGCACGCTCCCCACCGGGGATGTGCTCGCAACCAAGGTACATGCCCCTGACCGGAATCGAACCTGGGACCCTCCAGTCCACAGACTGACGCTCTATCCACTAAGCCAAACCGGTTTCGGCAGGCTGCATGCTTTATTCCCGGTCAGGGCACACACTCAGGTTGCTGGTTCGGGGCATCTCACACTGATGTTTCTCCTTCTCCCTCCTGTTCCCTCTCTCTACAATCAGTAAAACATAAAATAAAATAAAAATTTAAAAGAGGCTATATCCCCTACTACAAAGACAAACAGTGTAGTTAGCCCATTAGTATGCTTAGAGAGAGGGTTTTTTTCCCCCCTAAAGAGAAACAGCTTTCTATGAGAAGATTGCTGACTTATAACAAAAAGTTCAACACTGTTTTTAAAAGACAACCAATTAAACTACATAGCACCTGTCCCTGGTTTTGCTTACCATGGTTTCAGTTAACCGTGATGCAAAAAAACTAAATGGAAAATTCCAGAAACCAACATTTTCTAAGTTTTTTTTCCTAGTATATTTTTATTAATTTCAGAGAGGTAGGGAAAGGGAGTGATGGAAACATCGAGAGAGCCGAAACTGGTTTGGCTCAGTGGTAGAGTGTCGGTCTGTGGACTGAAAGGTCCCGGGTTCGATTCCGGTCAGGGGCATATACGGTGGTTGCGGGCACATCTCCTGTAGAGGGTGTGCAGGAGGCAGCTGGTCAATGTTCCTCTCATCAATGTTTCTAGCTCTCTATCCCTCTCCCTTCCCCTCTGTAAAAAATCAATAAAATATATTAAAAATATATATCTATGACACCTCATAGAACCCCAACTCCTAGGACAATGGTCGGCAAACTCATTAACAGAGCCAAATATCAACAGTACAATGACTGAAATTTCTTTTGAGAGTCTAATTTTTTAAACTTAAACTTCTAACGCCACTTCTTCAAAATAGACTTGCCCAGGCCATGGTATTTTGTGGGAGAGCCACATTCAAGGGGCCAAAGAGCTGCATGTGGCTCGCAAGCTGCAGTTTGCTGACCATAGCCATTGGTGATCAGAGCCTGGAGGGGAGGAGGGGGGACAAGAGGTCGGCCATCACCACCCCAACCCCCACTTACTGACCTAGGGGCCTTGCCCTAGGCGCTGGTCAGCCTTGCCCTTAGGGCAGCTGATATGTTTGTGGGGTGATGGGGAGGGGGCGGGGCCATGGCCTGGCGCCATAGCACACCTCACCACACACCCTGGGTCCCCCAGTTCCTCATTGGCCATCGGGGATTGAAGCCTGAAGGCCAGGGGGAGGGACAAAGAGGTCCACTACAAAGTCAGCTGTTCCCACCTGCTCGCCGACCCACCCCAAGAGGGTCGCCTTCCGTGTGGGAGGACTGGTGGGGCAAGGCCTGCATCCCCTGCCACCCACTCCCGGTTCCGGTTCCTCATTGGCCATTGGGGGATGGGAGCTGCGGGCTAGGGAAGGGACAGGGAAGTGCTCAGGGCTCCCAGATTGCTCCTGCTGCCACACCCCAGCTGCCTGGGGCTAGTTTGGCCAGTTTGGTCATTCTAGGCTATTATTAGTACAGGTTGTTATAATTGTTTTATTATTAGTTATTGTTGTTAATCTATTACTATCACTAATTTATAAGTTAAATTAATAGGTATATATGTATGTGTGTATGTATGTATAGGGAAAAACAGAGGGTTCAGTACTATTTGTGGCTTTTGGCATCCACTGGGGGTCTTGGAATGTAACCACTAGGACAAGGTGTGACTACAGGGCTAACTAGCTGTAAGGAGTTAGACAAAGAGAATTAACTTATGTGCAGGAGATTATTTTGAAGATAAAATGAGATTGTCAAAATAAGTCCCAGTTTCCCCATCTATAATGTGGTGTTATTACTTACTACACAACTCAACAGGGTTGTTTTGTGATAAAATGAATGTGAAAGCACTTTGCAAACTAAAGGGATCACACACATACAAACTAAACCTGGTGCAAGTCCACACTTTCCCCCCCATTTTGTCAAAAGTCAGAAACTCCTTTTCTAGTGACTATTGCCTTACTGTCTAATTGCATTGAAAATCATTTGAGCCAAAACCAATTTGGCTCAGTGGATAGAGCGCCAGCCTGCGGACTGAAGGATCCCGGGTTTGATTCCGGTCAAGGGCATGTACCTTGGTTACATATATATAAAGAAAATCATTTGAACCGGTGAGGTGACACTGTATAAATTCCAAAAAGCTACATGCCTAGGATGAGAGTTCACCAGGGCCTGAGGCTTTTTTTTAGATTCTAGTGTCCCTTTTACTATTGGGGCAGTACCAAGGATTGAAAAGGGAAGTGACCCTTCAGAAAAAGTTATTTTTAAAAGAATCAATCTGCCTTAGCTAGTTTGCTCAGTGGATAGTGTTGGCCCTTGGAATGAAGGATTCTTGATTCCAGTCAAGTGCACATACCTCGGATGCACTTCCTCAGCCCTGATGGGGGTGCATGCAGGAGACAACCAATTGATATGTCTCTCACATCAATGTTTCTCTGTCTCACCCTCTCTTTTTCATCCTCTCCAAAAATTCATGGAAAAATATCCTCGGGTAAGGATTAACAAAATGAAATAAATAAATAAATAAATAAAATAAAAATTAAAAAAATCAATCCAAGGTGAAGGCCTGCGAAGGTGGTGGGAACGGAGTGCAGGGGGTCAATGGGAGGAGGAAGGGGGGACATCTATAATACTTTCAATAATATAGATATATATATATCTAAAGCTAAATTCGGAGAGCATAGGCAAACTAATTACCCCTAAAGCAAACGGGGAAGACCTCAACTTCTTAACCAGAGAGGCCATCATAACTCCTTTCACTAACTTCTTAAAGCGTCTCCTCTAGTTCACCAAGGACCATTTGGGCAAGGAGTAAACAGCACAAGGAGCCCTTTAGCCTCTTCACCCTATGAGGGACACATGGGAGCTGGACCCAACACTAAAGAGATAACTTTCCCTATTCTTTTATTTATTTATTTATTTTATTTATTTATTTATTTATTTAAAAATATATTTTATTGATTGAGAGGAAGGGAGAGAGAGAGAGCTAGAAACATTGATGAGAGAGAAACATCGTCCAGCTGCCTCTTGCACACCCCCACTGGGGATGTGCCCGCAACCAATGTAGATGCCCTTGACTGGAATCGAACCTGGGACCTTTCTGTCCTCAGACCGGTGCTCTATCCACTGAGCCAAACTGGTTTCGGCTCCCATATTATTAGTCACCAAAAAGTGGACATGAAAACACATGTGAATAAGTTCAAACTATTGTTCACAGGGCCAATAGCCATGTTCAAGCTATTCCATGCTCAGTGGTCCCACAGATCCCCTATTCTAGAGGCCTATCTTCCAGCAACTCTATCAGCCCTGCAGCAGTTGGCTGAGTTTTTAAACAAGCTACAGGGGGAGGGGGAGGTGGGTGTGATGACATATTATCTGAGAGAAGAAAGAAGAAGTTAAAATATCTCCATAATGGACAATTTTTCCACTTCTAAACCAACTTTAAATTTCTATAATGGCTGGCTGCTTCATTGGCAAGAGGATTATAAAAAGAATAATCTAAAGTTAAATCTCAGGGGGAAAATATATATGAGCTCAACATATAGAATGGGGGCCCACATCTTAAGATGAAAATGGAAATACTCTCATGTTGGAGGTTATTTCTTCTACCAATAAGAACATAAAACAGCCGAGACTGGTTTGGCTCAGTGGATAGAGCATGGGTCTGCGGACTGAAAGGTCCCGGGTTCGATTCTGGTCAAGGGCATGTACCTTGGTTGTGGGCACATCCCCAGTAGGGGGAGTGCAAAAAGCAGCTGATCGATGTTTCTCTCTCATCAATGTTGCTAGCTCTCTATCCCTCTCTCTTTCTCTCTGTAAAAAATCAATAAAATAAAAAAAGAACATAAAACAAAAACAGTCCCGTCCTGGCCCCCCTTGTGAGAGAGAACTGCTAGAATAGTGGCCCTCTCCTTTAATTCATTTAAGATTAAGAGAAGATAACACAAAAATAAAAAAGGAAATCAGAGGGTCATGCTGCTTAGTCATTTCTCAGATCG